TGCGCGTGTGTGTGTGTGTGTGTGAGAGAGAGTGTGAGTGTGTATGTGTGTGAATGCTCACGTCTCTCTTTTCCTCCTAATTCCATCTGCATTAGCATTTATTCATTTAATCCAAACAGACTGACAGTTTAAGCTCTGGATCGTCAGGATCTTCTCTCTCACCTCGCTGGAGTTCTTGTCTGGTTTGTCTCTGCTGTCCGTGTGGATCTTCCTGAGCAGGTGCTTGATGCGTCTGTCGTAGAACTGATAGCGACGGCTGCTGTTCTCGTTCAGCTTCCTCACCTGACTCAACAGGAAGTTAGGAACCTGCAGAAGAGCAGATCAAACCCTCTTGAGCACTTTGGGAAGATGCAATCAAGCTATGGTGGCAGAGGTTTCTCCAGCTCTTTACCGTCCACAGCAGGTCCTGGTAGCGGACGAGGAGTCTCATGATGTCGGTCGCGCGCTCGGCCTGGCCCTTCTCTGGACCGTCCACTGCTAGTTTACTGGGAACAGCTTTGTGCAAGAAGAGGTTTGGAGCCATGATAGTGGAGACGGCCCACAGGTTCATGCGGTTACGCCGCTCACATAACACCACCTTACTGAGGAACTCCAGCAGCGCCTGGAGAAACACGCATTCACACATTAATCTCGCCTCGATCTGAGGCTGTTTACACGTGATTAAACCGAACTCTGGTGCGATTGCTCTGTTAGTGCGGTTCATTTGAACTGAAGTGTGAACGCTGCTGTCCGAACCTTGGTGTGCACCAAACAAGCAAACAAAGTCTGCTTCCAAACAAACCCTCGTGCAGTTTGACTGATATATGAACACAATGCAGACCAAAGACATCTAAACACCAAAAACAGGAAAGATTCTCAAGCATCTCTGGTTCTGTTGCACATTACAGTTCGGTACAGCGGATCTACGAGGAATTCCTGACACTGTTTTGACTCCTTTACATATATGTGACCCTGCAGCACAAAAGCAGTGTTAAGTCGCTGGGGTATATTTGTAGCAATAGCCAACAATACATTGTATGGGTCAAAATTA